AATGATTCATAAAAAATGCTACCCTCTCCTAACTCTAGTCCTAAATATTTTCTATTATCAATAGAAAACAACTTTATCTTAAAACCTCACCAAGTAAACTTCTTTTCAACGAGCTTTGCATTGACATGTCATAAGCCTTAAGTTCAAATCATTTAAACTTTAAAAAATAATTTCAGCATAAAATATAAAGACATAATGAATCCAATAAATAGCCTTCATTCCATCACGAGCCTCAACGAGTTGTTTCATAGTGTTTAATTCCTAAAATGTACATCCACAAGAAACGTCTATTTCAAAACCCAAGTCTATGTCAATTCCTGTTTTGTTGCAATTTACTTAGTTACTGATGTTTATCTACCAGTTACCTTTCTTTCTGGGACACTGAGACACCTGAGAAATTTTCCCTTTTTAAAGTAAGGCTTCATTTAAGTATCGATATTTATATACACAATTGGCATCTGTTGTATGTTACAGACCCCAATAGTCCATTCTTCTATCTTGCTGCTGAGAAGCGCTTACCTCAAATACTGTTTCAGGGCACTTGTTATTGTCTTCACTTCCCAATCTGCAGAATTCTCCAGGTCCACCTCATGGCACGTTTTTACATCTAGTGAGCAAGCAAACAACAAAAAAATAATTAAAACCTTGAACATCAAAGGTCCTCTTGTCTAGCTCACAAAGCTTCCATTTTTAAATGAGCAAACCACAATCCTGCGGTTTCCTAGGAAAACATTATATATACAATTTCTCTAAAATACTATAAGATATGTTCTATGACTAGACACTTCTGGCACTTCAGAAAATCTGTAGTAGAGACCAAAGCAAAAAATAAGAGACGGGTTGGGAGTAAGGAAGAATTAGATATAGTGTATTATTTCAACACCCACAATGTATTTCATGTATAGCTATTATAATCGTTGTTAACAGTATCACTCAGTAGCCCTGGCTTATAGCAAGTGGCACTTTCAGTTGTATGCATATGATTTGTTTTAGGTGGCACTGTTGCTCTCATACTGTGTATTGACAGAGGCAGGAGACAGCCAAATAAGAAGGGTAGAGTCCCCAGAGAACCTCCGACCCACCCAGCTCACTGCGTACATGAGGCTTGCCTAAACATGCCCACAGTGAAAAATTTCAGTCTTTAACCCATGCTCAGTAAGGGAAATAAATCAATGTGGAGTGGCTCAGACTAAGGGCCCACATGCACACTGGGGGAACAGGGCGGAGCTACTGGGAATTCCTGCCTTATGCCAAGGAGGAGCCAGACCTCTTCAACTCCTGTGTGGTGGCCTTGCGTTCAGTATGAGAGTTGGGAGCCGGGTGGTGGGACCCCCTCTCTTTGCTAAGAGCTCCCCTTTAGCTTAATAACTTCCACTCTCCTCACCTTTCACTGTGTCCGCATGTCTGATTTTCCCTGGTGGTAACACAAAAACTCGGATTTAGCCGAATCAGGGAGCAAAAAACATCCTGCATCATTATGACACAGAAAATTGCGGGTGGCACCATGAATGGCAAAATGACTATCAGAATGGCAACAAACTGGGGAAAGGATGATAAACTCAGTCTCAGATTTTCAGGATTTCTGTTCATTAGATTATCTTTCTGAAATTAATATATGATCAACCAAAACAGAAAATGACTAGACAGAGACTTAAAAAGTCATTTACAGTTAACCTTTCACATTAACACTATAATATATACACTCATCCGGGAAATATGTACTGGAAGCCTCTGTGTAACACTCCAGACATTCATTCTAACTTAAACTAGTTTTATTTATCCAAATAGTGCGTACTGATGTGTTTCTTACAAACATCCTTTCAAGTGATAAGTCAATAGGGTTGCTCCTTTATAAAGTAAAAGAAAAAAATTAAATTCAAAATGGCTAGTAAGTTCTAAAGAAAAGGTATGTGGTACCAAGAAAAAAAAAAAAAGGAGATGGGAGAGTTAGTCGGTTGTGGAAAGGAAAGCGTCAATCCTGGCAGAACTAAAATGAAAGGATGGCAGGAAAGGCAAACCCCTAAGGAGTATGGTGGCATCTATGACTCTTATAACTCTGGGCTGGTACACTCAGCTGTGGCATGGTGGCGGGGAGGAGAGCAGCATGGGTATCAAAAAGCTGGGCTTACATGCCTCTAACAACCTGGCCCAGCCATACTACCATAAGCGACTTCCAAACCTATCTGAACTTCAGATCTTCATCTGCACAATGGAGATACTGTAAATGCTCTCACAGAACTATTAAGAGCATCAAGGCAAATGAAGAATGTATACAGATTTCCATAAATAATTAAATGTAGCAGGTTATTACCACTGCTGAGTCACTAAAAAATATAAGCAAGCAGTGATGGTACCTGCCCAAAGGGAGGAGGCAGGAAATGGGTTATGACAAATGATAATGAGCCATCAATATCAATCTGCCTGGTTTTCTACACGCCTACTATGCAAAGGAGAAAATAAGAGATTCATGGAAAAGACTCTTTCTCCCTCACTCCACGATGATGTCTTAACTAAGACCAAAAAAAACCTAGTTGTTTCAAGGTTTTTTTCCTCCCTTATACTGTATTTGTCTTCATGGAGAAGGAAACATCTTGTTAGTATTTCCTTTTTAAAAACACTAAAAAGAAAAACCTGTCAAAATGGGACCACCACATTAAGTCATGCATGCCACTTAAAAAGTTTTAGGCTTGGGATGATGAAGGGTGGATGATAACTCAATGTTGGGTTGAAACTTTCTGAAGATAAAGTAAAACAGGAAGTGATGGTTATTTCACAGCCATAGTATCATACATATGAGGTCAATTACTCAAAGGTCTGAAGACTTTTAAAGCACTTCAACATTTCTTGATTACAGCAACTGACAGCAATATGCAATAAACTACAACAATGGCAATTGACACTGATTACATTTTGATCAGTTCCTACAATTCAGAACTCATTTGTTACTGAGCTTGTCAGACAAGCCACAGACACATTCAAGAAATCAAATTAAGCACCCTGATTAAAGGTGCAATCCTTTATAACTAGGACTAAATAATTCTGTTCTAAAGCCTTTGCCAACCAATTACTTCAGTAACTGAATATTCTCTCTCTCATTAAATCAATTATTTAAATCTCATTTTAACATACAAGTCAGATAACATTTTCAATCAACTTGCTACCAGCAAACCACCTTTTTAAAATCCAAGAGGCTTCTAAAGGAAATCTTTTATTTCCAGCTTTCTACCAAATTATGATTCTGTATTTTGAGAATCATATTCTTTCCATGGAAAAATAAGCCATCATTCTAAATTCATGGAATAAAAAGCAGCTGTCATATCAGAAGCAAATGACTACATAGCGTCTATGTTACTCTCTCTTAAATTTTCACTGTTTTCAAATAGCTCAATCATCCCTAGCAGTCCTTTACAATGAGTAAATGCACTGGGACTAGGCAGAATTTAATAATTATTTGGGATTCAAACATGAAAATACATTTGGAGGGTTCATTCAGAATATATGATCTACCATAAGAAAGACAAAAACAATTTGCTTCCTTTCTGACCAAGGAAGAACACTTCATGGATTTGTTAAAAATCTGAACTAACAAGCACAGATAAAAAGAGTTGACTTTTTATTTGGGTGAATGTTTCACACTTACATAACCACTGGTCATTTTTTTTGAAACTGAAAATCTGCAGTCCAACCTAAATGCAAAGTGCAATTTTATGCAGCTGCTAGCACCCTACTCAACACTGACTTAGGTCCAATTTTAAAGTACTTGAAAAAGCACAATGAATGGATGAATTTTGAAAATATGTCGTATAATAAAAAATCAGATATTTTTCAGCTACGTTAGTTCACTTTTTTCCCCAATCGATGCAACAAAGTTGTCCTACAAAGGAAACAAGGTAATGGTTTTCAAGTAAAACTCTTCTCATTTCTTGTTTTCTGTGGTTTTATGTGTGAAAATAAAGTCATCCAGCCCTTCTTGCAAATCAGATTTAGAATTAACCACTGAGCTCACCAGACCACACAAGCTACTACCACATTTTCTCACAATTTCCTCTTCTCTTGCTCTGATGTTTTAAAGTAAAGTAGGGAAGGAGGAATAATGCGTAACAATTCTACCTCCTATCAGTTCTAATCTACCATGAACTATTGTAATTGCTATTTACATTCCCACTCCATTTACTAAAAAATCATGACTCACCCAAAGACAACTCATCTGGTATTTCTCCCTGCCTTTCCCAACTGTGCTGTTTCTACTTTACAAAAACAATAACAACTTCTACCAAATCTGTGCACCCTGTCTTAGAGGCTGCAAAAGGGAAGAAAAAGGCAGGCATCTGCTCATATGGGCATGTTCTTTCAGCACCTTAAGAAGCTTGGTCCAGGGAAAGGCTCAGAGGCTGCTGGAAATCCAGTGGACAGTTGCCTTAGGCTCCCAGAGGGGAAGACAACTAAGAATGCCCTCTCATCACCAGGTGGAGGAAGGCAGCTGCCTGCTTCTTTACCTGGCCTGGAGGAGAATAACTGCCTCTCTATTTAGACAATTTTGTATGGTCAATGTCATTGCTATTTCATGCCAGCTGGGAGGTAGGAGAGAAGGAAAGAAGGGGGAGAAAATAAAAAGGATAAGGAGGGAAGAAAGGGCAGGAGAAGGAAGAAGGAGAGAAGGAAAATGGAAAGAAACATTTTTCTCTATTTTAATATGAAATATGAAGGGAAAAAACACACCAGAAAAAAGAGACAAATGAAAAAACATGCAAGAGATTAAGTACATTATGTTTTAGAAATCATTATAAACTTTTACACGAGTAAAGAAGACTTAAAACACTTCAACAAACAATACAAAGTATTTTGTGTAAAAATGGCAATAAAAAATTCTAAAGTAAATAATTACCTCTCAAGAACTACAGAGAACTGGGTAAATGGCAACTCTCCTCAAAAAATAGTACATGGCTTGGGACTGTTTCTCAAATACTTAAAAGTTAAATTATTTCCCATTTCTACAAAGACAACGCATTACAAACAAAATGTTCTTCGAAAAAAATTCAAAGTTGAAATAAACCTATTACCTTCAAGAATAATAATAATAAACACTAATTATTTTAAAAAGCAAAGTTAAAAATTGGGCAGACCCACACAATTTTTTCCTCTTCAGGATATATATGTAACCCTGTAACAATGCAGCAAAATGGGAAAGGTTGGAGAAAAATAATATCCCTAAGATTATGTAGACATGACTATTCAAAACTCTAAAAACCCTTTTTTTGGAAAAGCCATTAAATTATTCCCATTTGAGCACTCAATCTGGATAAAAGGAAAGAAATTAGGAAACATTAAATTGACTAGGAAACAGCAAGTAAATACATTTTGTCAAGGGCTAAGGTTTGTATTGGTAGCATAAGGTAATAAAAAAATGGTATTAATGCTAATGAAAATCCAAAGTTTTTGATTGATAATCTTAAATTCATCGTAGGAATTATTTATAGATTACTCAAAACAAAGGTATATTGTGTAACCCTCTTAAATGAATGAGGAGGTAACAAGTCAGTAACTGTCTCACATCAATTCTCTAACTTTCCTCTGTTTGCAGAGTGATATTACTGAAAACATAAGCATTTCCCTTGCCAGCAATATGTATGAGGTTGCGTCACACTTATGTCCTGGGCTTCTCTACTCTGAGGCTCATGAAAAGTAGAAACAGTTTTCCACGTCATTAATTTTTTGAGGGTTTAGATATTTAAAAACACCTTGTAAGTTAAGGACTGGCTTGGGACATTTCCCATGAGCAGAGCAAACTACCACGCTGAGTTGAGCAATGCTGTACACGTAGAATTTTATGAGATGACCAACAAATTTTGAGACAGCTTAACACTTCAAGGTGACCACAGAAAAACCCTTCTTCAAACTTTCCTTGAACAGGAACAAGATGATAATAAAAATAATGCCAGGCCCTTAGGATCAATTTACCATCAAAATGTGCCTTTCAGTCCACATTTCCCATTCTGATATCAACATACTCCTCCAGTTCTAATCATCATAACACCATCTTGGAAATGAAAGAAGTGTTTCTAATTTTAAAATTAAGTAAAAGCAGATGCTGTAGTCCCATTAAATTCTTCCAGCTGCTACTGAACCACTGGCAACCTGAGTCTATTTAATTTGGAGACCACTAATGGTAAAAAGGAAAATCTGACTGCCAAAATTGCACACCCAAGTTAAACCAGAGAGGCAGAAAATGAAAACAGCTTATGGAAGCGAATGTATTCTAATAAGGCTCTCCAACTGATGATGGGCAATTTTTCCTGTGGTTAATAGCTTACAAAAGATTGTTGCTTATTAAATCCTTAATTCAAATATAGCCAAACAAGCAATCCTATCCGTAGCATGGCAGTTGATTTTATTCAACTTGGCTCATGCTTCCTAAAAATGAGTCTTTGCTATAATGCTTTAAGATGCAGACAGGTTGGAATGTATTCACAGCACACCTGAGGGCATTGTTAATATTGATTAATGAAAGTAAAATATCAAATAAATTAATACGTAGCAAGATCATAATGACAGATTGGTTTGATACACAGGCCCTCTAGCCTGATGAGTTATCATCACTCTTCAAGAGGCAGCCTGTTTTGGGGTGGGGGAGAAATGGAGTGTCTTACAGGTGGCAATGAACTGACAGCAGTGTGTAATGTAAAAGCGCTTTGTCATTCACATAACGTCTGGGGTAATGAAATGAATTCACTCTCTGGCTTCCTCTAGTCTGCGACGCCAAAGAACACTGTGTTATCAGCACAGATGGAGCATGCATGGTTCTGGAGGAGAGCCTGGTGTGAACTACAAACAAGCCACTGTGAATACCAATGAATCCCTGAGAATCAGACCCTTGCTGTCAAATGACAGTTTTGGAAGCTCCATAAAAATGAGCTAGTCCCAGTGGTCTTGTCCAACCAAATGTACTGTCACAATTGTGGACAGGCTATTTGGAAACCACGCAAAGCGCAGAGGCCTGACTGCCACTTCGCTGTGAGAAGCAAGCACAGGAAGACAGTCAACCAGGGGGTACATTCTTTTTTCTTTCATTTCTTAGTAAGAGGTAACAGACAATCTATCAATCTATACTGATGCAAATACTAATCTACTTCTGTGGTTCAATTGTCTCTGCTCAGCAGAAAACTCCTGTAGGAAGTAGAGGAATGGAATCACAAGTATTCTCTACATTACTATGAAATATTAAGCTGTGAAATCAATGAACATATACAAATAACACATGGAAAAATGATTAGAAAAGAGGCATACCCATCAACATACTGAGAAGTCTCTGGACCTTTGAACTCACCCCTACAACTCTGTACAATCCTTGGTCATTTATACCTATGGGAAGAAACAAACTATTAGCAAAACAGAAGACTATCATATTTTAAAAGCCATCAAGCAGTTGCATTCACAATCTTTGCTAACTAACATTAGCAGCACTCCTGTTAACTATAAAAATAACCTTTGAAAAAAGCAAGTATTTAACAACTTGTTTTACTAGCTTTTCATCTGTAAGTTGTGGTTAAAAAATAATCTCAGCAAACAATGTTCCACGTGGACAAAAATGAAATGCCTCAACGTTAGTAAGTTAGTTAAGTATCATGGATACATTGAAATGAATACCAATCCAATTTGTAAAGATGCACTAAAACTTTTATGTTTATTGTATTTACTTGTTTATATATTCAAACGTTTTAGCCTTTTAAAAATATGGTGATGATTAGTACACAGAAAGAAATCATTGTTTGGACGATTCTTGAAAACCATGGAAATTCATTCGAAACTAAAGCAAAACTGTAATTTTTTTAAAGTTGTTACAGGCCCTGTCCAGTGAGGAGCTCTGAAACTTCAAATCAATATCACCACAAAGTATACTGCAAAATGAACCAAATCAATGCATCCTCTCTCTCTACAGAGATCTGAAAACAAATTGTCCCTGAGAACAAGAGACATATAAAAGGTACTGTCAAACATAATTTGGTATGCTCAACAAATATCCTTATCATTTGGATTCTGATCTGAACAAATCAATGATGAAAAGACATTTTTGATGCAATTAGGAAACTCTGAGTGGCACCAAGGATATGTAAGAAAATCTTCATTTGTTTAAAGTTGCATCCTGAAAGGGGTGAAAGTAACCTTACATTTACTTTAAGAAGGAAAAAGGGATAGATGAAACAACTGTGGCAAAATCCTGGTAATTATTGAATCTGGATGAGAATATGGGAGTTCATTATACCAATCTCTCTACTTTTTTACGCTTGAAAATTTTCATAGTAATGACTTCCAAAAACTGTGACTTATATTTACTTCTCAAACGAGTTGCAGCTTTCTGGCTGTGTGTTTATTTTTCTCCACTGTGAATGTTAAAGCTAACAAGAACACAACTGGCTGACAGGCAGATGATGCCTCTAATCCCCAAAGTTTCCAAAACAAAATAACACAACAAAAGGCCATGGAATTTGCCCACGAGGGTTTACTTTCTTTTCACCTCCCTGCTCGGAGCGATGAAAAGAATACTAGCCAGAGTCTAAAGAACTGGATTCAAGTCAGTTCAGTCACTCATGAGGAAGACAGGAAACCTCTTGGAGTCTCTATGCTGTATCTGAGATCAAGGACTGCATCCTATACCCTATGTTATGCTGGGAGAGAAATGAGACGATACTAACACGTGTCCTATAGATGGTAACTCACAGCGCACACACAAAAGCATTCATTCTTCCTTGCCAAGTTTTGTCCCTTCTTTTTCTCTTTGCTTTTTTAAAAATTATAGTTACATATGCTATTTTTTTTTAAGTTCAGAGCTACATGTACATCTTTGTTACATAGATAATAAACCTGTATCATGGCATTTGTTGTACAGACTATTTCATCACCCAGGTACTAAGCCTAGTACTCATTAATTATTAGTCTTGATCCCCTCCCTCTTTCGACCCTCCACCCTCTCATCGGCCCCAGTGTGTGTTGTTCTCCTCTATGTGTCCATGAGTTCTCATCATTTAGCTCCCACTTATAAGTGAGAACATGCAGGGTTTGGTTTTCTATTCCTGCATTACTTTGCTAAGGATAATGGCCTCCAGTTCCATGCATGTCCCGGCAAAGGACATGAACCTCGTTCCTTTTTAGGGCTGCACAGTAGTCTGTGGTACCTTATGTACCACACTTTGTTTCTTTTGGAGATGGAGTTTCACTCTTGTTGCCCAGGCGAGAGTACAATGGAATAATCTTGGCTCACTACAACCTCCGCCTCCCAGGTTCAAGTGATTCTCCTGCCTCAGCCTCCCAAGTAGCGAGGATTACAGGCATGGGCCACCGTGCCCAGCTAATTTTGTATTTTTAGTAGAGACGGGGTTTCACCATTTTGGTCAGGCTGGTCTCAAACTCCTGAGTTCAGGTCATCCGCCTGCCTCAGCCTCTCAAAGTGCTGGGATTACAGGCAAGAGCCAATACGCCTGACCCCACATTTTCTTTATCCAGTCCATCACTGATGGGCATTTAGGCTGATTCCATATCTTTGCTATTGTGAGTAGGGCTGCAATAAACATACATGTGCATGTGTGTGTATAATAGGGTGATTCATATTACTGGGTATATACCCAAAGGAATATAAATTCTCTTTGCTTTTTATTCCTTATTTTTTAAGCTTTGCAAATGTCCTATTTTTCCTTCTGTTAAAGGCTGAATTGTATCCCCCCAAATTCATCTATTGACATCTTAATCCTCAGTACTTCCAAATGTGACTGTATTTAGAAATAGGTCTTGAAAAAAAAGTAATTAAGTTAAAATGAGGTCACCAGGGTGGGCACAAATCCACCATGATTGGAGGCCTTGTAAGAAGAGATGAGGACACAGACATGTACAAAGGGGGACCATGGGAAGACACAGGGACAAGACAGCCACTCCCATGCCAGAGAGAGGCCTCAGAAGAAATCAGCCCTGCTGATAGCTTAATATTGGACTTGTAGCCCCTAGAATTGTGAGAAAATTGATTTCTATTGTTTATCAGCAACCTCCATCCCCAATCTTTTAGGCACCAGGGCCCGGTTTCATGGAAGACAATTTTTCCACTGACAGGGGTGGGGGATGGTTTCAGAATGATTCAAGCGCATTACATTTATTATTAGATTCTCATAGGAGCACACAATCTAGATCGCCACATGTGCAGTTCACAATAGGGTTTGCACTCCTATAACAATCTAATGTCCCACTGATCTTACAGGAGGCGGAGCTCAGGCCATAAGGCTCGCCCACTGCTCACCTCCTGCTGTGGGGCCTGGTTCCTAACAGGCCACAGTCTGGGGATTGGGGACCCCTGGTTTAAGTCACCCAGTCTGTGATACTTTATTATGGCAGCCCAAGCAGACTAATAATTACTCTCTATCTCATTAGAGCTTAAAGAACCAGAAAAGCAAAGGCTAGCCCTTAGTCTAAGTCTACTCAGAACTCTAAGGAGTCACAGCAGCAGAGGCACACCTTCCTGAAGGGGAGCGCTCAGTGACTACAAGGGAGGATAAGGAGGCCGCAAAGCCCTGCCAGGAGTTGGGAAAAAGAAACGGAAGTTGCCAAGAAACACAAAAATCAGAGACCTTTTGAGCCTGATACAGGAAAAAAGATTGAGCCTCATTCCTCCCTTCTTTTTGGAAGCCAGAAGGACATGCCCAGATGGTTTAAAATACCAGAGGGTTTCAGTACTACTCTAGTTAAGAAACCTAAAAATGTTTGACCTTAGTGGTAGAAACCAAAAGAGCAAATCATACTCTGCATTCAAACAAACATGCCTCTGTGAAAAGGGCCTGAATTATATGGAAAGATGAAATAAGAACGCCACTTCGGCAATAATAATCACTCTGTGCCGGTAATTACTATCAAATAATTGATCAAGTTCAAATTCATCAACCTGAAAGAAGTAGAGTTAATTGCTAATGCATACTGAGAGGTGCAAGGGGGAATTAAAGCTACTCAACACAGTTTTTACATTTTTAAATGAAATTTAAATAAACCTTGCACAAAAGCAGCTTGGAAATAGCACGTAAAATACATACACTCCAGTCTTGTTGGATTTTCTATTTCTTGCTACACTGTTCTCAAAGGCTCTGAACTAAATGAGAGCTGGAACATTCTTTTTATCTATGAACACATATATGTTCATATAAAAGGCATCAAATACATTTTAAGGATATAAGCCAACCAATATGCCAAGGCGTATCAGTGAGTTTATCATGTCCTTTCCAGCTTCTTTTCCAAATTTCCCTGTCAACCAAAGGGATCACTATTTCTGATCAACAAGTATTAGAAATTTGAAATCTTTAACTTCTTCCCTGTCACTTTCCAAATGCAACAAGTCAATGTCCACTCTGTCTTCAAACTTCAGACTAATTTCTGCCTCTTCAACACAGTACTGAATTTCATGCACACACATTTATTATGGAATCCCTAAAAAGAAACACACAACTATAATCCATTCTGAACACTGTCTTCTATCATTTTCAAACCACTATTATTATCTAACATCCCCTGGATCCCCATTTAAGAGCAAGCCTTCAGATCCAGCCCACATCCTCTACCCTTAACAAGTATGTAAGGCACACACACGCACACGTCCATGCCGGGCCTCACCTCATCTTCCTACAGGGACTGCAGTGTATTCAACTTAATCACAACAGACGGCTTGACCATCACCCACAAATAACCAAGTTCATTGCATCCTCTACGGCTACATTCAGGCTGAAGTCTCCCCAGTAGGAATGCTCTTCCCCTTCTCTTCACAGATTTATTCAACTGTCATGTATTTATTCATCAGATATGTGCCAGGTGCTATTCTGGTTGCCCAAGATTCGACAGTCAGTAAAATTCCCATCTAAACCTTCAAAATCGGATAAAAATCCCCTTTTTGACACCAGCCCACAGTGACATTCCCTTCTTCTAAATATAACTCAAAATTAATTCCTTTTAACACTTGATTTAAGTATTTTTATTTTTAAGACAGGGTCTTGTTCTGTCACCCAGGGTGGAATGCAGCGGTGTGATAACAGCTCACTGCAGCCTTGACCTCCTTGGATCAAGCAATCCTCCCATGTCAGCCCCTAGACTAGCTGGGACTACAAACACATGCTACCACACTTGGCTGAATTTTTTATTTTTTTTTGTAGAGGGGGGGGTCTCACTATGTTGTCTGGGGCTGCTCTCAAACTCCTGGCTCAAGTGGTCCTACTGCCTCAGGGCATCCCAAAGTGCTGGGATTACAGGCAAGAGCCACTGCACCCACCAGGGTACATCTTAAAACAAGTCCACAATCTTAAGTCACAATTTTGAAAATCAAAAGTGTTCACGGATAGAGG